ATGGTGCTTTCACAGTGATAAATGTGTTTCATGTTACACACAACCGTGTTTTTGCTTTCTAGTCCTTGTCTAACTTACACATTTCAAAATATTGTCGTTTTAAGCCACCGTCTGATTTGCAGGGTACCCATCTACCCTGAAAAAGTGTCAAAGGGCAGAGAATGTGCTTTTTTGCCTTACAAGAGTGTGATATTCTAAGAAATGAATACAACATTTTTTCACTTTCTACCTTTATTTTAGAATCGAATACAAAAAAGGGAAAGCGAGCTTTCAAAAGGCGACATTTTTTAGTAGAAGTGAAAACATCAATACTTTAGATAATAAGTATGGAGCTGCTCCGAGGACGATGGATTGGAATTTGCTCAATTCATTCGTTTTATCTGTCTCGAATTTACGAGGTTGCGATCAAACATTTTGGCATGTCCCACAGAGCTCAGGGCAACTCTTTAGTACTAACATCAGTTGCCTGCGCAAATCCGTACGTTCTTAATATGAAATAGTTTATGTAGTTCTGCGAAGAGAAAAGTAGTAATTGGCATTTTAAAAACCATTTCGATCATCGCCGATTTTTTCCACTAGACCACCGACTTTACAATAACTTCCCCTGCCCTTTTTCAAATGACAGATTATTCACCTCTTTAGCTCTCTGAACTCTGTTTCTCCTAGCATCAGATCTTCAGCTAAAACAACGAATAAATATGTACGTATGTACATACTTAGTACTATATAAGACCGATGAGATTTCATTATTGCAAATTTTGTTGTTCCAATGCAGTCTTCACAGAGCTTGTGTTACTAGAAGCTGGTACCTAGTAAGTATTACATGCAGACATGTATTTAGTCTTATATCGTCGTTTAAAGTACAAAACCGCGTATCGTCATTCTGCAAAACAGCGTAACTGACTTTGCTGTCAAAACTTGGATTTTCTCACACAAGCTCTTGGCTCAATCCTTATTTATTCGTCCTGAAATATACTAGCCAGAAATGCGATTGCTTTATAAAAATGACAACCATTTTGAAATATGAAGGTTTAATTTATGCAACGCGGTTTTGCATTTTGCAGATACGCGGTTTTGTACTTTAAACGACGATATGTAGCGGATATAGACTTTGTTGGAAAATGCTTTGTATATTCATACATATGTGAAACAGCATCCTATACACACCGGTGACCTATATATTTTTCGCCTGGAAAATGGGGCCGTTTTCGTCAATTTGAAGTGCACAATTGCACATTTTTTTCGTTTTATTGCTGTTGCTTATGAAATGCAACGAATACATACAGTGTCGGTCATATCTATAGCACGCCATTTCAAAGTTATATTGTTTGCCCCTTATGTTTATTTTTTTATTCCTTAGAATTTCCAATTATAATACAGTTCATTCTCTTACAAACCCCATATAAACCATTAAAACTTTGTAAAAAAACTACAAAAAAATTCCACAAACATTATCCAAAGTTCAAACTTTTTTCTCGGAAGTATAAGAATTTTTTTGAATACACAGTTTTATAGCCCACTCAATTTTAGTCTGATAATGTGCAAGTTTTAAGTGACTAAAATTAGCGTGGATTTTTTAGAATGAGACAAAAAAATTCTAAAAAATCAACGGTAAATTTTAGCTACTTGAAACTTGCACATTATTAGACTAAAATTGAATATGCTATAAAACTGTATACATACTCAAAAAATAATCTAACACTTCTGAAAAAAAGTTTAAAATTTGGGGGGAAAATTTGTTGTAGTTTTCTACAAAGTTTTAAACTTGGGTTTACTTGGGCTTTGTTATAGAATTATCTGTATTATTATTCATAAAAATTAAAAAATAAACATATATAAGTGGCAAACAATATCACTTTGAAATGGCGTGCTATAGATATGACCGATACCGTAAATAGCTACTTGGGGCATTCCAGCCCATTGCGGACACCATTTGGCATTAGCATCTCCAACTTCTTTATAATTTTTTTTACTTTATAGAACGAATTGACAGAGCCTACCCTGGTTTTTTCCAAGTTTTCTTTGTTTTGTCCAGCCGCTTTCGAGATATCGATTTTTGAAAAAATAAACGTTCCTTTTTCTAAATTTCAACCCCATATTTCTACAAAAGTTTTAATATAAAATGTTGATTTCCAAAAACCACGTACTGATCGATTTACATTAATTTTTTCTGAAAACTCATGGCAAAGGATAAAACTACTTTATTTTTTAAGAATAAATCTCTACAAAATTGCAGTTTAAAGTACTACGCCCCTTTGTCGTAATTTATTGGTATACATACATAAGGATCTCTTTAATGAAATATATGAGCTGGAAATAATCGGGCATATTTATGGTCAAAATAAAATCGAATATAAAATCGGAGGCAGCCTTTAGACATAAGTTCCAATGGAATATCTGTCAAAAAATCTTGAAGTAACTTTGCACGGCAGTTCTGGTTAAGATAGTAAAAAGTCTTTCGTAAGACCTTTGTTATTCTAGTACAAAAGTCTTGGAAAACACCCTCTCTTATTCACCACTCATGGGGAAAAACTATTTTGCAAGAAAGCACTTGTATAACATTCAAGATCAATTTAACCTACTTCCGGTCAGTTGAACCCACTTCCGGTCAGTTTAACCCACTTTCGGTCGAAATCGAAGCATCCTCCACATGGTGATTCATATTTTTTTTATTTTCCAATAAAAACATGTTCGTCCATTTTAGAAGTCCACGACGAATTGAAGTTCGTAGATTATTTAGAGGTGGAAAAACGCTCTTCCGAAAAGCCATTTTCAAACAAAAGTAGCGTACTTTTATCTCCAGATTCCGAATCTGTAGTAAAACCATGTATGTCTTATTTAAAAAAAAAATGGACTTCTGCATCCCCGATTTGGTAGGTCATATTTTGGCGTCTTTCAATAAAAAAAAAACATTTTCCTCCATTTAAGAGGGAATGGAGGGGTATTCTAGGAAAGTCCGCATATTTTTTATTTAATTTAATTTTTAGATTTTTTTTTAATTCCTTATTTTATTTTTTGTACATTTTATTGTTTAAATAAGAAAAATATATATTTTTAAGTTTTTCGAAACATATTTTTTCTATTTTTATTTAAATATTTTGTATTTTTTCAATTTTCAATTTATTATTCCTTTAGGTTTTAGATTTAATTTCGGAAAACAGTAACGAGCTTTCGGGTAGTTGCTAGAATAAACAATTGTCGTACGAAAGGGTTTTGTCTTTCAAAAGATACTGGTGAGTTGAAAGACGAGTGCCAGTATTGCCCTTTTAGAGTCTACCTTAAACGTTGCTACGCTGACTGTTTCAGAGAAAGTTAAATATCTGGGCGTTATTTTGGACAGAAATCTAACTAGGCGGCGCAATGTGGAAGAGCATTGTAAGTAAACGATAACTGCCTGTACGATTGTAACTCAGCAATAGAGTATAAAATACGGCTTGAAGCCCTATGTTGTAATTTGGATGTACGGAGTGTTTTACGGCATCACGGTCTGGTGGCCGTCCGTGGATAAATCTACAATAAAATGCAAACGAACAACACCGACTAAAGCATTACAAGAAAGATGTAATGCTATTAGACTTAACGCGCTGATCAAGTGGTATGATACGTGGTTCAGATACTATAGAATTCTGGAATATATTCCAGCAGTCTTCAGACGTCCGGACTACACAGTCCTGCCCACTGGACTGAGGTGTCATTTTCAAACATGGATACCCTCAAGCAGCCATCTACACTGGTGGCTCGAAGTTGGATCTGAAGATAGGAAGTGGGGTATACACGCAAGTACTCTCTCTTAGCCTCAGTTTTCGTCTTCCATATCTCTGCATCGTTTTTAAAGCTGAACTTACGGCAATAAACGCAGATGCAAGACGGCTGATCGATTTTTCTATTAATTTGCACACAGTAGCTATATTTTCCGATAGCCAGGTACCTATAAAAGCACTTAATTGTGATAAATCGGCATCGATAATTGTAATGGAATGCTGACGTACCCTAAACGAGCTGGAAAAGAGATAATTTACTCATTTACTCGTATGGTTGCCGAGCTATAGAGATCTAACGGTCAACTGTATTGCGGATGAACTGGCAAGGAAAGGCACCTTACTGTCAGCAATCAGTATTGCTCAAGTTGCGAGCATGCTGCTATCTTCCTGCAAACTCTGTTTGGCGAATAGTTCTATCGAACGGGCAAATAAAAGATGATCTGCGGAACCTACGTGCAGGATAGCAAGGCCTAGTTTGGATAAGCGTAAATCTATCCCTCTACTTCGCTTGTAGCGACCACTACTACGGCTTATATGGGACCTTACGCTAGTAGAACGGATAAGCAGTTAACGGATAAGCGATGAGGAGGAAATCGAAAGCGTAGATCATTATCTCTGCCACTGTCCTGCATTGGCGAGGGCTCGTGGATGCTCGTTTCTCCACTATTCTTTTGAATGTTTGGCTGAACTGGATTCAGTTCACGATATTGTGCACTTCATTAGAGCTACAAAATGTTTTTACTTCTAAGGTATGAGAAGGCACTTAAGTAGTCTCTAACATGGCATCATAATGGGCACACAGTGGATGGGGGCAGCCAAGATAACCTAACCTAAGGACATAAATGGTCATCGCAAAGCCACTTAGTATCGCAAGTGAACCTAACCTAACCCAGCTCAGAACGCTGGAAGTGCTGGGGCAAATCCTTGCCAAGCCCAAATATTAATTGATGAAACAAAATTAAAAAATATATGAAAACATTCTGTGCAAATAAAATTCAAACCCGTTCTCAACTGTTCTTAATTCGTCCAAATATTTATTTGCGTACAAATATATAAATACATACATGCATATGGCCTGTTCCAGTTTTCGATCTCACATAAATTTCACGATTTCAATTTGACTAGAAGTTCTATAATCTTTTGACAAAATTTACGTACACCCGAACAGCGCCAATAGATTTCACTCGCTTAAAGTTTCTGACTTTTGATATGTTGAAGTATCCAATTTCGTTTTGCAACCACATCCGTATACACATCGGGCAAGTTGCTGCCGCAACCATTCACGGTAAATGCAGCCACACCTATAAGATCACTGCCATAAACGGCCGGACCGCCGGAATCACCTTCACAGATGCCATTGCCTACTCGTTTTTTAAAGCATCTCATTGATTGCGCCAAAGTATCTATCGCATTTTCACATTCCTCATGGCTGATAGTATACTCCGTATTGTATTTTAACTGCTCAGGCAATGTACCAACGGGTGATAGACCCCAGCCACTCACGGTAACTGACGCACCTTCAGGAACCTGCGTTTTACCAAGTCTTATATATTTTATTGCCTCGTTGTACTTCAATGGGCTATTCAATTTTAGTATAGCGATATCGTTGGTAAAATTATGATATTGTGGATGTATTGTCACCTCCGAAACACCCTCTAAAACGCCTCCTTCATCATACATGACAGAGCCCGCACGAACAGTTATATCCTCTGGTGTATACTCGTAATCTTCAACACAATGCGCTGCCGTCAAAATGTAATTCCGCGAAATAATTGCGCCACCACATGTTCTTATCTGACCATTTGCTCTACAATTTAGCAGTACCTGATATGGAAATTGTCCCGATGCTGCCGTTCGACCACCATAAATACGCGACTGAGGCTTTTGTCTATAAACAGCAACATTAGTCTCACATATGACTAATTTTAAGACTGCGAATGCACAAAAGATAAAATATGTTTTGATGGAAATACTTTTCTTTACCATATTAACTACAACTGCGTCGATGAAGAGAACTAAGCACCTGACGTTGTTCAGCTATTTCCTAGCGCTTATATGTAAAAGATTCGAATGGAATTTTCAAGCGCGTGCATTAATTTATTACCTACCCGACTGACTTTTCGAAAGAAATTTGCCTATGACTAAGATGAGATAACAACAAAGTTTCCAAAATTCTTTACTTTAATTGAAGCTTTTAACTTATTAAAGCGTGTGTTAGGTAAATATTCAAATAATGTGTTTCACTTGAATAAGTATACTGTTTATGAATATCTATAGCTGGGAATAAAATTACTAATTACTTTTGGTGATATTAAGTTCACTTTGCGAGGCTATGGAAGTGGATTCCTGTTTCAGCTAATCCCGGAAGTTTCACAGGACGCTGGGACACACTTAGGCTAATTAGACTAATTGTTTTGCAACTATTAGGTCGCAGGTGTCCGCAGAGTCGAGATCAGTTAAAACATATAGGAATTATTGACCTTGTCAGAGATGGGGATGGTGGCAGACATATTGCTCTACACACTCCACCTCCTCTGCCTCCTTATAGGCACAACAGAAATCGTTAGCAGGATGACATTGGGCAGTGTTTTGGCAGAGTTTTGGATCTTTCCTCATTAATATATGGCCAGATTCGTTAAGTAATGGAACAAGTTGGTCTATGAAAATATATTTCAGTCGGTGCTTGCACGAAGACAGGGGGGCACCTGCCTGATAAACGCTGCGGTGATCAACGTTATGGATGAGCTTTTCCCCGTCCGTAAATATAGCATTCGCTCCTGTCTGGAATTCTGTTAGAAAACCTATTTTCAGCTGGTGTAACGCAACTTATGTAGGGTTTCTGGCATGGTGCCCAAAATTTTAGAGTGACCTAACCTGGGTTAGGTTAGGTTAGGTTAGGTTAACGTGGCTGCCAGTGATCCCACTAGCACACATAGGGTCTTAGGTCATGGCACCTTTTGGAGTGCTTCAGTTGTAGATTTCGTGTTGAGACTTGGCCACTACACCAAGACCTCACATAGTAGAATAGGCCTAACAACCACCGTGTATAGCCAATACATGATGCTTTCGGACAGTCCCAGCTACGCTCAATCGCCTCCTTGCAGCTGTAGAAGGCTATCGTCGCGTTTTTAATGCGCTCTTGAATATTCTGTGTCCAGTTCAGCTTTTTGCCCAGTACTACCCCCAGATATTTTTCGGACTCCCCTACCTTCAGAATCTTATTGCTTATGGCACGGAACTGAAGTGAGGGGATTTTGTAGATCCTGGTAAAGAGAACCTGGTAAGTGTCTGGGTAAACACACAGGCCTTTCTCTTTGTTCCACCTTTAGATTATCATAGTTTGTGGAAATTCACAACCACCGCAAGATTGTCAGCACCAGCAGTGACCTTGGAGCCTCCCCGCACTTCCAGGGTCTGCAATAATTTATTAATCGCCATGACTCATAAAAGGGGGGACAGAACCCCACCTTGCGGGTTTCCCTGCAAATGTATCTGTCCAGCGACACCCCAGCCAGTTCCGCCCGTACGACCCTGCCTACCAGCAGCTGTCGTATAAGCAACACCAGCTGTAAGTCGATGCCCAGACCCGTTGCAGCTGATGTCATTGCTTCAGGTGTGATGTTTTCAATATGCGACACGATTTCGTGCAGCGCTGTTTCGGTGGATTTGCCCTTCATATAGGCATGCTGCGATGCCATAAGTTTGTCTGCAACCGATTCCCTAAGTAGGGATTCAATCAGTCGCTCCATTATCTTGAGCTGGAAAGATGATATACTAATAGGTCTAAAATCTTTGGCGTTAGTATGGGATTTTCTTCCCGTGTTAGGAACAAAGACAAGCCTTGACTCTTGCCAGGTCTCCGGAATGTATTTAAGAATGAGGACTCCCTTAAAAATAGTATACAGATTTGAGCTTAGCTCCAGAGATTGCTGCAGCTGAATCGGTCTAACACAATCAGGACCCGCAGATTTGTAAGGCTTGAAAGATCCTATTGTCCACATTACTTTTTCTTTAGTGATAATGTCTACTGTAACGGGTTCACCTTTATCTATCTGCTCGGTGGCGCCTGGAAAGTGCGTATTCAGAAGATTGTCCAGAGATTCCATCCCAGTTTGCGTCCCCGCTCCGTCGGATCTAAGCAAACTTCCGTGGCGATATGGGGTGAACTAGACAGAACCTTCCTGAGCCTAGAACCTTCTGATACAGAGTCCAAAACACTGCAAAGTTCCTCCATGAGGATCTCTTGCTTTTCCTAATAATAATAATAATAATCCAGATCCTTGCCACACGCCGCAGTATCAAACTATTTCCTGAACTTGTGCCAGTCGGCTTTTCTTATATTTATTTTGGGAGGCACCGTAGACGGGATCCCATCTAAGTCGAATTGGATGTAGCGATGATCAGAGAAGGTATGCTCATCAAGCATCCTCCAGTACCTGATCATAACCTTCGCATCTTCTGAGCGGAGGATAACATCCCGAAACTCTCTTCTGTTCTTCCTTATGAAGGTAGTCTCGCTACCCCTTTTGCTTATAACTGAGTTATATTTTTTTAGTATGAATTCAAAGAGTAACTCGCCCCGTTCGTTGATGTCTCCGCTTCCCCATGTGCAATGGTGTGGTTCGACTAGCTGTTCGGCTGTTGACATTGGAACTGGCCTCTGATGTGCCAGATACATTGAGACAAGCCTTATTAGCCGTCGGTTTGTCTCCAGACTAATAGTGGTGGTGTCCTCGTCACTTAGCTAAGAAATAAACAATATTTTTAGTTTGGTACTTATAAGGATGCAGTCCTTTTGTTTACCTATTATAGCTCCAAAGTGTGCTCTGCCTACTTCAACCCGCATATTCTATGCCCTATCACCCAAGGCTCCTGGATGAGGGCGTTGTCTGCTACCCCTTTGGAGAGATGGAACGCAGTGTAGCCGACGCTGCTTTGCTGTTAGGTAGGTTTACTTGGAGGTTGCGCAACGTATTGGCCGCATTTGTTCACCCCCTCCACCACTCTTGAGTTCGCCTCGTCGTCGTCGTCTGACATCAGCTCCTCTTCTGTGTATTGCCGGAAAATGTGGTCGACTCCCAGTAGCCGCGTCATCCATCCGATTTGCCTCTTTGGATTCCTCGTTCATCTCATCCTCGCTGTTGTCTTCTTCCAGCTCAACTTCATTGCTTCTTGCTGTGGTCACGTCGTTGGTGTACACTTTTATCTTGACGGTGTCGAACCCGACATTAATGACGTTCAGAGTATTATTATTAGTACGTCGGGTATACTCGCGCTGCGACCTAAAAGATCTATTGTGCTAAACCCTGATTGTGGTCACTCCAACCTTAGGCTATTCAAGAAATTAAGCACATTGGAGGGTGCCGTGTTCCAAATCTTGGATGGAGAAGACAATCGTTCCCCAAGGTGCATCAGTCTGCTATTCATGATACGCGGGCAGTCACACAGAATGTGCTCCGAGGTTTCCTCCGCCAGCCCACAGAACCTGCAGTCCGTCTCTACAGAAAGCCCCATTTTGTTTAGATGGTACCTTAGCTTGCAGTGTCCTGTCAGGTAGCCTGTAATAGTCCTAAGACCCTCCCGGCTGAGTTCACGGAGTCTTTCTGAGTTCCTCTTGGAAGGAGTTATGAATTTCTTTGATTGTCTCATTCCCTTTGACTTACGCCAGTGGGCAGCAATCTGAGATTCCTCCCAACTCCTAAGTAGTTCTGCAGTGTATCCTATGGATGTACCACAGAAAGGCTCGGGACCATGCATTCGCGTTTGGGCCCCACGCTTTGCGAGATAGTCAGCCCTTTCGTTGCCTTCAAACCCTTCATGCCCAGGGACCCACCACAGCGTAACTCTATTATGGGCTCCTAGGCTATTCAGAAGAGTTTTACAACTGTCCACAAGCCTAGATGTCGTTTTAAATGAGTCTAAGGCCCTTAGTGCTGCCTGGCTATCCGACATAATGTTTATTCTGGCCCCGTTTGTCCTTCTCCGAAGACATTCTCGAACACAGACTTCGATTGCGAAGATCTCCGCCTGGAATATGGTTGGGTATGAGCCCATTGGCAGACTTTTCTGGAACCTTGGTCCAAGCACGCCTGCCCCAGTACTCCCGTCTTCCATCTTTGATCCATCGGTATACCATACTTGGGACCCTTTGTCAATCATAGATATTATCGCTTTACAGCAGTCCCTTTCAGGAATTCTGACCTTGTAGGGCTTATCAAAGGATAATTTCGGTAGCATGATATCTGTGAGCTTGATAGCGGGATCATCCAGAAAAGGCTTGAGAACCTCCAAGTGACCCCAAAGATCTCCACTCTTCATGCTGATTACATTGGGCAGCCGTATGGAGCTCCAGCAGGCCTCCTTTTCTATCAGAATAGATAGAGGAGGAATGCCTGTAATTATACCGAGGGCATCCGTTGGACAGGTGCGCATAGCTCCTGTGATGGCCACACAGATCAAGCGGTGTAGCTTGCTCAAGGTGGCACACGCACTTGCTTTCTTTGCTTTTGGCCACCAGGCCAGTGCCGCATATGTGACAACAGGTTTCACGACCGTATTGAAAGACCAATACGTTAGTTTGGGTGATATTCCCCAAGTTTTACCATGGAGTCTCTGGCAGGCATAAAACGCCCTTGTAGCCTTGTTGGTAATGTTAAGGAGATGTGAGTTCCAATTGAGCCTTTTGTCCAGAGTTACCCCTAGATACTTCGCCTCTTCTGAGAACTCAATTTCTGTCCCTGCCAAAGTGGGTTTAGTCAAGTTGACTTTCCTTCTATTGGTAAATGGGACAACGGTGGACTTCTGCGGGTTTATTGACAATCCCTTTGAAGCACACCAGTCTTCCGTTAGACTGAGCGCAGCTTGCAATCTGGAACAAATTGTGTCCTCATGCCAGCCGACAACGTAGATGACTAGGTCATCTGCATATCCATATGCCTTGAATCCATTGCCATTTAGCTTTTCAAGAAGTTCGTCAACAACCAGTGTCCAAAGTAGGGGCGATAAGACTCCCCCTTGAGGACAGCCACGGGTGGCATTTACTGCTTGCCTGTCGTCTCCTAGTTCCGCTATTATGGTTCTGGACCTCAACATGCTTATGATCCAATCCGTTAGAAGGACAGGAATATCCTTTCGTATCATAGCTGTCCATATTGCTTCATAAGACGTATTGTCGAAAGCACCTGATATGTCCAGGAATGCACACAAAGCTATCTGTTTATACCGCAATGCCTTTTCAATGACTTGAGTTAGGCTATGTATTGCAGTAATAGTAGATTTGCCTGCCTGGTATGCGTGCTGACTCTGACACAGAGGCTTATTCCTGAGAAAGTTATCCCTTATGTGAAAGTCAATAAGTTTTTCTAGTGTCTTTACTAGAAAGGAACTGAGGCTAATTGGCCTGTACGCCTTTGGGAGTTGTGCTGAGTTTTTCCCCACTTTGGGTATAAAGACCACTTTGACTTCACTCCATGTTGTTGGTATGTGAGCAAGTAAGAGACTTGCTCTCAGCAATCTGACTAGTGGCCCTGATATTAAGCCCAAGCTCTGCTGCAGCAGGCATGGGAAGATACCATCTGGACCAGGGGATTTATATGCACTAAAGGTTGAAATGGCCCACGATATCTTTTCCACACTGACGATTCTTCCTGCTAGGCCTCTAGTCCTCCTGTTTGCGCACACAGCGTTCGCCGTGTTTGTCGAAGGACATGTGCCTTGTGGAATACATCCCGGGAAGTGGGTTTCCAGCAGAAGCCTGCTGGTTTCTTCCGGGGTGCCAGTGTAGGTACCATCTGGTCTTTTCAAAGTGCATAGGACTTTCGGATGATCTAGTTTAAGGGCCTTCTGAAGGCGATGCACCTCTGGAAGAGAGGAAATACTTCCGCAGTGCTCACGCCACGTAGCCCTTTTAGACCTTCTGAGCTCACAGTTGTAAGCGGTTAGGGCTGACTTGTAGGCGGTCCAGTCACCTGTTGACTTTGCCCTATTGAAAAGTTTTCTGGCTCTTTTCCTTAGTTTTCCGAGAGAATCGCTCCACCAAGGGACATCCCTTTGAGACTTTTTGGTTCTCAGTGGGCAGCTCTCTTCAAAACCTTGTTTAAGAGCATCTTGGAACTTTCTCGCCTCGTCCTCAAGTTCATAGACGGATGAAATTGGTGCGGTAGAACCATTCACTTCCCGCTCTATGTGGAGGCGAAAGAGTTCCCAGTTTGTTTTTCTGGGATTTCTGTAAACATGGTTTGTTACTCTTTGGGCTTCTATATCGAATCGAATATGCCGGTGGTCCGACATGGATACCTCATTTGAGACATGCCAGTTTGAGATAAAGGTCGACAAGCTAGTTGAGGAAATTGTCAAGTCTAGAACCTCCCCTCTTATAGCATTGACAAAGGTCGGCTCATTACCCCGGTTAAGAATAAATAAGTTGTTCTTAGTGATAAATTCAAGAAATGACTCACCTCTAGAATTGGTGTCCGAGCTGCCCCAAACACAGTGATGGGCATTGGCGTCACAGCTCATTATTAGTTTCAGCTTTCTCCTTCTGCAGTACTCCTCTAGGGCTATTACTTCCCTTGTGGGCATCTCACAGCTGTCGCCTGGGAGGTAAGCTGAAGCGAGAACGACCTCTTGTTCTCCCATTTGAGTGGGCACTTTAGTCCATACAGCAGCTAAGTCCTGTTGTGTCAACTCTGAAATGGGAACAAAAGTCATGTTATTACGTAGTAATATGGCCGCTCTGGGCCTGCAGTGTGTGGTATCGTAGATTATCTTACCATCACAGTCGTTTAGGCCTTTAATAGCCCCGGCGAAAACCCACGGTTCTTGGATGAATGCGACATCCAAGAGTTCTGTTTTGAACCTCCTGCATAAGACGTCAGAGGCCGCCTTTGCATGATGGAGGTTCACTTGCAGGCACTTGATGTGCCTAGGCCTATCGCTTGGGGGGTTTGCCATTTTTCGGCCTTGAAGCCCGCTTGGCCATCTTTTTCCCCCTATTGGTGGCCATCAGGGTCTTCTCCTCCATTGAAATCTCCCCTCGACCTTGTCTCCGACTCGCATTTAGCGGAGGACGGAAGGGATTTTGGGCGAAAGGGGCCTTTGATCTCTCTGGGCTGGAAGGTACCCTCTTTTCCGTGCCAGGAGTGTCTTCTGAGCAGCAGGGCCGCTCTATGGACTCCTGGACAGGTGCTTTTTCCTTCTCCGCTGCCCCTGACTGCTCTGAAGGTAACCTTTGCAGTCCCTTGGGTACGTCCTTGGAACCGCAAGGTCCCTCTTTGAAGCACGCACTTTGTGCAGCGGAGGAGGAACTGGCTATAGCAGGCTGCGCACCCTTCGGGTCTGACGACTCAGTCGTCTTCCCTTTTTTATGGATGCGCACCCTGCCATATCCATAATTGACTAAGTATCCCAGCCTGTCGAGTGTCTCCGCTGAGTGCGGGTCAACCGCTAGAGTGAGCTCAGTGGTGGGTCCCTTCTGTACCCTGTTGAGCACCCTCCAGCTACCTACCCGCAGCCCTTCGTTCTGACCCTCGACAAGGCCAAGGATACTGTCCACTGGAGTGGTTGATGACTCCGGAAAGTACCCAACGTACACACTGGGTTTGGGCACGTCAGTGGCATTCATTGCCACAATTTCCGCGCCCTTCCAAGGCTTCAGGGTTTGGGATACCTTGCGCAGCCATTCCAGCGTTATAGCGTCTCCGCAGCCAATGGACATCCATCCCGGACGGAAGGTGCAACCGCTAAACTTGGGCTTCACAGAGCCCTTTCGCTGCCGCCTCACCTCCTCCAGGATGGCCGTCTGAATGGCCTGTAATTGGTCTAAGGACCAAAGTGCCTTAGGGTACCCTTTGGGGAGTAACCCTAACTTAACCCCATTACCAGTGTCCGCCTGACAAGTCGGCGCCTTTGTGACATCGGCAAAAGTTGCCTTAACACTAGGTACCTTTGGTCCCATATGGGCCCTTTTGTCAGCTGGACCTGGTTTCCGTTTGGGAGAGTTCTCCACCGGGGAAGATGTGAGGTTGACCGATCGGTTCCTCTTAAGCTTTGTGCCAGCCAGCAAAGCCAGTTCGGCTTTTCCTTTTGCCATCGGAATAGTGGCTAGCCGTTTGGCCTCGCTTTCGCTGACACCTCTGGAGAGGTAGAATTTGTAGCGCTTTTTACCTGCTCCAGAGAGTTTTCTTTTAGGAGTACTAGCTTCCTCCTGCTGTGACGATAAGAGCGCCTCCTCCTCGTCTGTGGGTATTTGGATGTCGTTGCCATTTGAACCAGAGTCCATTTTGGCAGTATCGACATCCATGGCCACCGGGTTGCTGAGAAGGCCGTTTGGATCAAAGTCCATTTCGTCCATTACAGCGTCCCGAGAGGGTTGAGCGCCTTGGCCGTTTGGATTTGCACCCAGTTCGTCCGCCGCAATCGCCATTTGTTCAGCAATCTCGTTGGGCATCGCGTGCACCTCTGAGACTGCTGACTGTTGCCCACTGTTAGAGGGCACAGAGCTTTTATTGTTTTTTTTATTAATTTGATTTTCTTCCATAGAATCCCACGAGTAAGGGGGAAGAGAGAGGTCATCCGAGGCAGAGCCCCGGTACCCCGGAAAGACTAAATAAAACCAGACGGCGCCACGTGACTGGAGTACACCGTAAAAAGACACACTAACGTAGTGCCATTCAGTCCGCAGGCACGGTCCGATTAACACCTGGACTTACGGATTTTATCGAGTTGTTCTCTCTAGATCCGCCATATTCAGTAAAAAGCAGGGGCACCTCTCGCAGGGTGTGACTCTTCGCCACGTATGGTCGGTCTTGAGCCATCGACAGCCCCTGATCCAGAGCACTGCATCACGTGTGATAACAGCACCAAGAACCTTGACCCCCAGACCGTTCAGAGTAACAAGGACTCCTTATTCAGCAAAAGGACCGCCTGACGAGTCGTCTTTGTACTGTGTCTAGCCGCGCCACTTTCCAATTGTGAGAGGGTAACTCGGGATTAAAGAGCCTTATAATCTCGAGCACTTTTTCGTGTTCAGTCGGTTTGGCCGGTATGCATGCCCTTGCTCTAGACCTGGATGGGATGTGCTTTAAGTCCACAGCACTAAGCACCGCTCCGGTGTCGACGTCTCTCAATGTGACAATTGCCATCTTGGACAGGCCCGCAGGCTTTTCATCGTCGCACGCGACGACCCTGGCGTTGCCTTGGAACCAACCTGCGTCCAGGCATATTGGAGGTGATCCTGGGTGCTCTCGAAGCACGTTAACAGAGATGTTCGCCAATTCTGCCTTAAGCCGTTTCTCTTCGAATACACCCAGAAGGATCCGATTTTTGGCTATCTCAGCAAAAGAGGGGCCTTCCGTCCTCGCCCTCTTCGGCTTGCTTTGTGCAACGTTCATCGATATGTTTCCCGCTTTCCCGCAGCCGGCGGCTCTCCGAGGGCGGCGTGATAGGGCAGCGCCGTGCTACACAGGCCCGATGTTAATGCGGATCTCTGCAAGATCCCCATAGCAGCCTTCCTAAGCTTAGCGATGGCTGCATTTGATGGTGGCCTGACATCAGGCCTTGTGAAGGCAGTAGGTGTTGGGGAGGCGGGGCCAACGCATCAGCTCTGGCGCTCCCTGAGGCTGCAAGCTTCAAACCGGATTTGCCTTCACTGGTGCCGGGAAGATCCCGTTTGCGTTCCCCTACCCTATTCCTCTCCGCTTTTATGAATGCACCTGACCATGTCATCGCCAGAAGCTTACGTTCTCCATGGATGCTAGCCACGTCGTGGCTGATAGGGGGCCCTGCATAGCACTGACCCCATCGTGTCTGGGCCATTGCCCTTCCGACTTTTTGTGCCGGTCAAATTTTTTGTTGTTGTTTTTGAATTTGATTTTTTTATCGTTCATAGTATTATGAGTCGCAGAGAAAGGGTCCGACGGCCCCGGGAAGAGATCCGCAGTACCCAGCGTAAGTCCACTGCATGCAACCGGGTTCGGCCTGGTTTCCAAAGGGCTCCGATACCGACTGGGCTATTTGGGGCTCCCAGCCAGGCTGATTATCAGTAAGGTACGCGAAGCGCCTTGTTCCAGCCCCTACAAAAGACACGATCAAGAACAATTTCGGTATGGCATAGTGATCAAAAGCACATAAGCGCTCAGCGCTGATCCCTGTAGTGCGGATAGTTTCCTCTAACTGAACATATCAGGAAACGAGAAAACAGATGAGCTCGCAAGCAAGGTTACTTCCGCTCCACTTTCACCAGCCTGGAAGAGGCTTGCCGCTCGCTTCCTATAGGCTCATTATTATGGAGTTCTTACTAAAACAATAACGTACAAGATGGAAACACTGTAGTATGCATATGTAACACAACCAGGCTTATGTGACTTAAAATGGGCTCTTGAAATGAGTTTTGCTGCAAACAGTAACGCATCTTTTTAATATGAAATTTGCAGAGCAGGCGGCTCAAAAAGCACCACCAAAGTCCACATATGTATTTATATATATGATTACATCCTTTTCTTTTTTTTGAGATATGCAAGTAAATATTCATAGCTTTCTTTGGTACCCAATCTAGTCAATCCATAATGACATTAGGTTTGTTCCGCAAGCTACTTGAAGTCACTTCTTCTTCTTTGATATACGCTCACTGTTTGAACTTTGCTCGAGTTTTTCTACTAGTGGCTTGTGGAACAAACCTATTATGTACTTACGCATGTATACATGTGTGTACTTAGCGAAGTTGCCAATCATAAGTTCAAAGTTTGCAAGCTTTCAAAAATATAAAGCTTTCAAAAAAAGTTATCTTTTAAGCTCAAAAAAGTTAAAAACCATCCATACATCCAGCCATACATTTCGGCATCGCATTGTACCCTTTTCTGCACAAAATCGTTGCTTTATAAGAGTATCACGCGGAACGTCTCCACTCTCTGTTCACTTAAATGTTATATCTCATTTGATAAATGTAAACTAACTGTTATTTCCCAAAGGGCAGACCGTGCGTACATCGACTCGTCCTCAACGCGCCTGTCCTTGGGCGCATTTATGATGAGTGAAGGTGAGTGTGTGTTTTTCTTTATTATTTTTGCAGTCTCACCTTCAAACCAGTTTATAAGAGGCAATAGTTTTAATGTCCTTTGATCTTGAAAATGTACGAGGAAATTGCAATAAAAAATCTGCTAAGTGCATTAAATCGGAGGTGAATGTATTTAATTGGATTTCAGTGGGTATTTCATGGAAGCTATGGAGGCTTCAATTATAGATTGACGTTTTAAAGAAGCATGAGTGTAGAGCGAGATACTATTAACTGGATAATTAAGTATAATTTCAAGTAGAAAATATTAAACAAAACATTTTATTTTCTTCAACTAAAATCTGTTCTATGTGTACACATAAGTATTGAAATTAACTCTCCCTCACACTACTGTAATTTCTTTCTTTTCAGTTTTGTTTTTTTTTTTTTAATTGAACTCAAATCTCCTACCTCTCAAGTTTACTACCTATCACGTGACTTTGAACTCACATGACATTTTAATGTCAAGGCAGTCTTTTTTTGTAAATTACCCACACAAGC